CCTTCGCGCTCCTAGTTCTCGAATTAACGGGCTTAACCCGCTTGGCTTCCGGTTGAGACTGAGCCGACAGCTAATCCATCCTTTGTGACTCGGCCTCCTCCCTGGCCTGAGTCTCCAACTCAATCTCCCTCTTCTAAGCATTTTCCTGGAGCTCAGCAAATGTCCGGTAAGTCGAGTTCGCCACGAACTCCCGAATATCTCTCTTTAGAACACTCAGATACCAGCTCATGTGAGCCTGCTCAGTAGATACATGCTCAGGGAAAAACATCGCCCTCTCGTGAATCTTCCTGGTAACAACTGTAACAAAACTAGTACCCTGCTTGAGGGTCAAGAACTCCTGAATCAACCGTTCCCTCTCCACTGGGGGAACATACTCATCTCTGAACATGGCGGTGAACCTCTCCCAGGTCACCTCAGAAATCTCTGCCAGAGTGAAGCTTGTCGTCACAAACTTCCACCAATCCTTTGCTCCTAAGCGGATCTGGTTCAGAGGGAACCGTACCCTCAAGTGTTCTGGACAAGAACACGTATAGAAACATCCCTCGATGTCAAAGATCCATCTCATTGCAGCGATCAGGTCCTGCGTCCCATCGAACTCTGGTGGCTTCGTGTTGCTGAAGCCCCGAAACAACAACGAGTCACCTCCCGAGGTCTGGTAGCAACAACAGCAGCAGTAGCTGCAACAGCCGCAACCTTAGTCACCGCTGCATACCGCTTGTCAAAGGTCTCAATCAGTGTGGTCTTGATGTCCCCGAACATCTCTGGAATCTCAACACGGATGGTAGCAACCACCTCCTCATGAATCAATTGACGAATCTCCTCGTCATTGACACCACTGCTCCCAGGTGTGTGACGTGTCCCAACCATGATGCCTTTGAAATACAACATAAAAATATCAGAGACTCGATCGAGCATACTCGCACTCGATAACGCAACCCTACTCATCCTCCAATATCCAAAGGATTCTTACTTGGACTACTCACTGATCCGGTGTCTTCAGTAGTACGGGCCCTATACTACTGACCACACCGCATCAACATTCATCCCAAGTCCTCTTCCTTGGATCCCGGATCGCAAGTACTCTATTATCGCTATGCATTGGCTACCCTCCGATAGACCTCTCATGAGCTCCAAACTGATACCTACTCACTCTCAAGGCATCTCATAGCAGCAGTAATCTCTTAGGCTAAGACATCATAGATCAAGACACTTTAGTCCTAATATGAATACCAAGTCCACTCTAGCATGCATAACATAATATATCATATAACACAGAATGTAAGGGTATTTTGGGGATTCACCGTTCGGGCGCTGGCTGACTGTACACACTGCTCTGCTCTTCTCTTTTTAAACCTTTTACTCTTTTAAAAACTTGTTTTATTTTTTAAAAAAATCTCTCAAATCCTCAGTTTGAGTTCAAATACGCCCGAAGTTGCATCCGAATCCCTCAAACCAAGGCTTTAATACCAACTTGTAACGACGAGATTTTCAAAACAAAATTTTCATTTTTCAACAACCAAATTTAAGTAAAAACATTCTCAAAAGTATTCAACAATAGTTATCAAAATATAACATTTCCCAAGATCACAAGAAATCAAATCCTTTCTCTAATGTGTACGAGTCACGTCGGCGCCTTCCCATGGTCCTCGTTAGTACCTGAGACACAAAACACAACAACTGTAAGCAAATAGCTTAGTGAGTTCCCCAAAATACCAAATACAACACATACGCCACTCGAGGCTACTGTATGACCCTCCAATCGATGTGTCTCAGCGGGACCCTCTAGTCCCGTAGCTCGTTGCGCCCTCCGGCCCGGTCTAAATCGTTAGACCCTTTGGTCCAGTCTGTATCGTTGGACCTTTCGGTTTGGTATACACAATCATATAACATACAATTATCACATAACACATAGATTCACATAATCTCATACATAACACATAAGACCCTTCGGTCCACATAAATACCACTCTCGGTAATGTATAGTGAGAAGACTCACCTCGTGTAGTTCGCTAACTCGTAAATCTCAGAAATCTCAGACTCCGTGGGATAAGATCTAGCCTCCGCCTAATCATATGAAATAAACACTCGACATCAACACATTTCCCAAGGCTAGACCATCCCTTATCTTAATACTCTCATGAGGGTAAAAGACCATTTTACCACTCACATGGCTCAAATACCCTAAAGTTGACCAAACCCTAAAAGTCAACAAAATTCAACCCTTCGGGTTACGTTGCGCGTACCAAACATGTACGCTAGGCGTAACCGATACCTTCAGAGGATCGGGGTGCGCCACCCCTTACGCTGCGCGTACTGGAATTACGCCCGACGTAATACTTAGTTTCAGTCCTTCAGCTCTTGGGGTCTTAAACAGTTAAGACCCACGTCCAACTTTTAGATCTAACCATTTCTAAACCTCTTAAACCATAAAGTCGATGACTTTAAGCCTTTGCATCGCTGAATAAGTCACTAGCACCCAAAACATTTCATTCTCTAACCCTAGAAAGCATAGAACTCAATCATGACCTCATATCAACGACCAAGATGGGAACTTTATGGATCTAGACCACAAATACTACTGAAAAGGGACATATCTCAGATCATGGAGCACCTTACACTCATAAAGTCTCCACCTTTGGGGTTTTTAACCCTAGAAATGGCACATGCAACAACAACCAAAAAGAAGAGGAAAGTTTTGAACTTCATACCTCTAAATGCAGCTCCTTTCTCTGTAGATCTCATATCCAAACTTGCACTTCAAGCTTTTAGTCTCCACAAGCTCCTTTCTTCCTTCTTCAATAACACACCAAGGCACTATTAGCTCCAAGAACACACACACTCACTAAGGATGATGGAAGTCTATCTCTTAGGGTTTTACTCATTGATAAGGAGGCTGAGAAATGGGCCTTAGCATCCTTTAAATAGTGCACAAGTCTTATTAGCGTTTTGCATCTGGACCGGGTATGCCCGACGTAACTATGGGTACGCCCAGCGTACCTTAGCGACTCCGCGTCCAAAATAAGCGCATGAGTACTCGCAGCGTACCCCTTTGGTACGCCCAACGTACTCACTTGCAAGGCTTCCTCCACTCCAGGACCAATCATGACCAATTGACAAAGAATAAGGGTGGAATAAATGTACCTGAATCTCGGGGTGTTACAATCTCCATTCCACCCATTGTGCAATTGTAAGAGCAAGTCCTTGTACCACTGATTAGGGAGTGGAGGATCCACCCAATCAAAGAATTTGCAATCTTTACTTGAATCATGGATAATCCAAGATTAAAGAAAGAAAAAAAAAACTAAAAGATGAAGAATTTCAACATTAACAACTAACCCTATAATTTGGGCATCCAATGAATCTTCTTCCAGGATTTACTATCTTCCATGAAGTTCACCTTCCAACTAAGTCACCACATTTGCAATGTGTCCTTTGAGGGGGATTGAACCTTCTCACAACCTTGCTTCCAACATATGAAGAATACAACATTCTCGTCTTTTCCTTTGAAAAATATGAAGCTAGGGTTCATAGGGATTGACGGTATGGTGCTTAAGTAAGGTCGACAACTCCACATAAGCCTATCATTTAATAAATTAGTGGTCCACATAAGCATTTGGTGCCACTTCACCAAGTAAACTGGCTGCACCAGCAGAAAAGGTCAATCGGGTCAATAAATGCCGGTAATTCAGGCGTTTGTGTCAAAAAAAAAAAAAAAGTTTGGTACTTTCGTGTCAATTGGATGAAAATATCGGGACTTTACTGTATATATCCCTTTTAAATTATTTTGCTATGAAAAAATATATCTCATCTATTACACATATTTTGATGAGTCCAATTATATAATTTCGATGTCAGACTTTGCGATTTTTGAGCCCATTTAACAATTTTCCTTCCCATTGTCCATTATAATTTATAAAATCGATAGTTCTTATAAAAACTTAAATTTTTTGTTTATATCTTAAAAAAGAGAAATTGAGTAATCTATAAGACCGGATGGAATGAAAGCGGGAAAGGGGAGCGAAAAGCTTATCTCTCATTGGAACACCATACCGTGGGTGAGGGAAGCAACTAGCAGGAAAGAGGTGGGCGGAGGGGTGCCACACTCTCTCTCCTCATTCTATTGGTCAGTTCATTTATTTTATTTAATATTTATAAAATTATATACACACTAAAAAAATATCAAAATTCATGGTTTTTAATTACCTACAAAATGAGTATAATATATATATGAAATATATTTAAAAAATAAAAAATAAAAAAATAGTGAGGAGAGTTTCCCACCCATTTTTTGGGTTTTAGTTGAGGGAATGGAAAGTAAAGGAAAAGGCAATGTAACCCCAAAAAAAAAAAAAACACCTTCCAATACCGTTCGATCTAACCAATTTTTTTGTTTTTGTTTTTAGAAGAATAACCACGAGATCCACAATGAAGGAGTTTATACCCCAAATTTTTTTCTTGGCAAAAATTACATTTCAGCCTGATATTTCAAAGTTCGAAAAAAAATATGAAATTTCAAGAACAATTATGAAATCCTAATAAATCCGGAATTTTAAGAAAAAAAATCTAAATTTTTATTAAAATCTAGCAAAAAGTTAAAAAAACATAGTAAATAGAAAATATATATGATATTATGACTTGTAATCAAACATTTTATTAAAAACACTGATGTTAAATATTTTTAAACAAACATTTCATATATAAATAGATAGATTTTCTTAAAAAAAACTATAAAAAAAGAACTCTCGGGTATGAAGAACAATTTGGAATGCTGGCATTAAGAAGAAAATAGTCTTTTTTAAAAACTGAAAATAATAATTTTTCTTTTTTGAAAAACTCACTTATAATAATGAATTTACTTACTTTCCTAGAAAAATAAAAGCCATTCTTACATTATAAACAATAATTTATATTTTATAAAACTATACATTACAACGTTTAAAACATGAATTCATATCTAGGAAAAAAATAATTGTTTAGGAATCTCTTAAAACCTAATAATAATTTAGTATTTTTTTTAATAACCAAAATTCGTAATTTGCTTTCTTTTTTCACAAGAATTGCACCCACTACGCAGGGGCAAAATGGTAAAAATTTGGAAAAACCGCCTCAAAACCTTCTGTAGGAGATGCCATATTCGGGGCGATGATACCGATGCCTCTCTCTTTTCTTTAAATATAAACCCTCACCCGTCTCCATTGACTCTATTCAACTCCCGTTTTCCCAATTTTCTCTAAAATCTTCGTTTCTTAGATCTCAAATCTCGCAACCATGTCTTGCTACAGAGGAAAGTATGCCGGTATGTTTATTGTTCTTTCTCTGTGTTTTATCTGTTTTCAATTCTACAAATCTTTGTTTTCCGTTGTAGTTTTGTTTAGATCTACTCAGTTGTTAGGTTTCTTCCAACTCTGGAGTATTTTTAGGTTCTTTTTTTTCATGCTAATATGGATCTGATTTACATCTTCAACGTGTTTACGATTAGTAGATGCAAAGAGGCTACTAAACCTTTTTGCGACACACTTGTTATCTGTTTCCGTTCATAGCTGAATTATTCCTGTAACTATGATCTATCCATGTGCTATTTTCATCCGAAGAACGTCGATTTGGTTTTAAATAATTGTTCCCGTGGATCTGGTTGTGGTTGTTGAAAAGGTGGCGATCTAATTATTTCATAATAGTTTTTGTCGATTTGTTTGATAGCTGCTGCATAATTTTCTTCAGTAGTTTTTTTTTGACTTCTTCGCGATAAAGTAATCTATGGAGCCAATAATTTCGAATCCGATTCATATGGTTGCACACCTCAATCATCAAATATACGCTTTAGACCTTCGATCCATACGCCGATAGCTTTTTATGTGATCAAATAATTTTTAAAACGTTTTGTATTCATTCACACCCTGTTCAGTCTCCGATCTCGATCGTTTGCTAAACGATTTCGATATTTTACTTCTCATATCTCAAAAAAGCTGAATCAGTAGTTAGACGTTGCTTAGCTCTACTTTCGACAACCACTTTCTGCCACCTCTCTAACTTTCTGATGTAGACTTAACTTGAAACATGTGATATTTTCATTTACTTTACTCAACGTTCTGATACTTAATCACTTTAATCAATCCTTCGTTTTCTTATCCAGATGAACTCATTGCCAATGCTGCCTACATCGGAACCCCTGGAAAAGGTATCCTCGCTGCTGATGAATCAACCGGAACAATCGGAAAGCGTCTATCCAGCATCAATGTTGAGAACATCGAATCAAACAGAAGAGCACTTCGTGAACTCCTCTTCTGCACTCCCGGTGCCCTTCAATACCTCAGTGGAGTCATCCTCTACGAAGAAACTCTCTACCAAAAAACCGCAGCAGGTAAAAAAAACAAATCACTAAACATCAATCATCACCTATCATTTCCATCAAAATCTAACATTCAAAAAAATCATTACAGGCAAACCATTTGTGGATGTAATGAAGGAAGCCGGAGTTCTCCCAGGAATCAAAGTCGACAAGGGCACAGTCGAGCTAGCCGGAACCGACGGTGAAACCACCACCCAAGGGCTTGACGGTCTAGCCCAACGGTGCGCCCAGTACTACACCGCTGGTGCCCGGTTCGCTAAATGGCGCGCGGTTCTCAAAATCGGCCCAAACGAGCCTTCACAGCTCGCGATAAACGAAAACGCAAACGGTTTAGCGCGATACGCGATCATCTGTCAAGAAAACGGTTTGGTCCCAATTGTGGAGCCAGAGATTCTTGTTGACGGGTCCCACGACATTAACAAATGCGCGGATGTAACTGAGCGCGTATTGGCAGCTTGCTACAAGGCTTTGAATGACCATAAGGTGCTTCTTGAAGGAACTCTTTTGAAACCTAACATGGTGACACCTGGATCGGATGCGAAGAAGGTGGCGCCGGAGGTGGTGGCGGAGTACACGGTTAGGGCTTTGCAGAGGACGATGCCGCCAGCGGTTCCGGCGGTGGTGTTTTTGTCGGGTGGGCAGAGTGAGGAGGAGGCGACGGTTAATTTGAACGCGATGAATCAGTTTAAGGGGAAGAAGCCGTGGACTTTGACTTTTTCTTTTGGGCGTGCTCTTCAGCAGAGTACTTTGAAGGCGTGGAGTGGGAAAGAGGAGAATGTTGGGAAAGCTCAGGCGGCGTTTTTGGCAAGGTGTAAGGCGAACTCTGAAGCTACTCTTGGGATTTACAAGGGTGGGTCTGGGTTGAGTGAAGGTGCTTCTGAGAGTCTTCATGTTAAGGACTACAAGTACTAAATAATACTAAGGTTTGTTTCTTGTTTCTTGTTTCTATTCTCGGGAATTCTTGTCGCATTTGTGTTTTGATTTGAGGATTTTGTGTTATGTTTTGAACTTGTGGTGGTGGTGGTTATAATAAGCATGAGAAACATCTGCCTATTCAGGTTTTGTTTATATATTTTACGGTTTAGGTTTTCATGATTATTTTGTCATTGATTTTTTCCTTTTTTGCTTGGCTGATGTTTATTAATCATATTATTTTAAGATATTTTTATTCCAACTTTTATGAAATTTAAATTGATTTTTGTGTTGTGAAAACAGGAAATGGCATTGCGTATTCATATATGAAAACAGTCGTCTTATAAAAAATATCTAATATTAAATATGATATTAATAATTAATCAATATCATAACACCATGTTAAATAACTTCCTATTTACAAATATCTGTTGTGATATTTTCCTCGGTTGCTCTTTGTGTGGTAGCATGTTAAATTTTGTGTATTGTATCTTTTTTTTGTTTTTTTCATAGCAATCAATTTGATAATATATAGCTTATAACTTGTGTTTTGTTCATATAAAGTTGTCCCACAAAAATAAAGCAAGGCTTAAAAGCTACGATATATTATTAACTTTGAAAGTAAGTATGTGCCAAACACTGGTGGGGATAACATTAAACATCCCCCACACAAACACAATTTGATTATGCCAAAGGTCGTTTGCGGTTGGTTTGAACTTTGAAGGCTTTGATTGGGATTTGTAGTTAAAATCCTGATCAATCACGTGTTTGGTTAAAAAATAGAGATGGAATTCAAAACCCTGAATTTTAAGCCAAATCCTTTGTTTAAAGGACTTGAGAAATCCTTCCATACACCCAAAATTTTACGAGACCTACCAATAGGGATTTTACGGTTTTTAGAAGAGTCCTTTTTTTTTTTTTTTTTAACCATAATGGAGAACACTCTTCATTTGATTAGACAAATAGCTAGTAATGATTTGTTAAATGTCGACGATTCCAAGGGCAATTTGCGTTGGAAGTGAAGTGGCTAATAGCTAAGGAGAAGAAATTTGGTCTGGAATAGAAAATATCGAATAAATTGGAGCTAAAATTGGCGATTTAAACAATAAAACTTTTTGGAACTGAAAATGTCGAAGAATTAAATATGATGCTAATATTGATTAAAGCTTCAATATGTAGACCATGTTTAAGATAATTATGTTTAGTTATTTTTATTTTTCCGTATAACCTAATCGTGATAAAGGGTATGTGTTAATTAATTTTGTTAAAAGACTTACAAACAAACATTTGTTTTTTAGTAAATGGCTATTTTGTTATTTTTATAAATTATGATATTATAATTTTCTTTTTAGTGAAATGTATTTTGTTCATCTGTCAACTAAATACGTGAATTGTGCATGGAGACGGATTTATGAAGATTTGTTGCACTATAATGTGATGTTTTTACGTTCAATAATGGATATTATACATGTATGCAAGTAGATTATCACAAAATACCTTTCTCAGTCCAATTGAGCTTCAAACCCACCACATCACGGGTTAAGAAGGTTCAAGCTCGGGTTTGGTTAAAAGAGCCACAGGACCGTTTTTTCTTATTTTATTTTTTTATTTTTTTTAGTAGATGATTAATTAACAAAAACGACAATATATAGGTCGGTTTTGGTCACTTTACATTCTTAAATTTGTATATGTTAGCTTGAAAAACAAATAAAATCACATTTTCAAATATCATATTTTCGATAAATTTTATTTTCTTGACTTTCATATTTGTTAATCGCAGATGTTAAATATTGTTTTCTCGAATCTCATATCCATATTTCTATTGTTTTTTGTATGGTAGCTTTTATATATTTTATAATTAGGTTAGAGATATTTGAAAACCACGGGTTTATAAGATAGATAATGAAAAAAAACTGATAAAATAAAAAATTAAAAAAATTCAATACTACAACAATAGTGAAGTATGATTGTCAATGTAAAATAATTTTCTACTTTAATAAATGAGACTTCAATGATTCGTAATTTTATTTTGTTTTTGTATTTTTAACAGAAAATTGGTAAGATGATTGTAAGAAAATATGATCTAAATAAAAAAAAGTTATTATTTTTTGATGAAAGGAAAAAAATAAACATAGATCTAAAAAATAATTAGTTACTTAAACAAATTTTTTATATGATATAGAGTTACATCATTCAGATATAACGAGAAATCAATACTTTAAGAACTTAAGTTGTAATTTTGGAATTATTGACTTAAACTATGCGAACGTTTTTTTTTTTACTAAGGTGTCAAATACAAAAAGAAAGACAATATTATATTTACTTATAAAAGATAGAGTATGTAAAATTTAATAATTAATGATTTTAAAATTTAAATCTTCATTTGGCTTTTAAAATTCAAAATATAAATATTGATATTTATATATTTTTTAAGTATTAAATATAAATAACTTTTTAAAGATCATATGTAACATCATTAGAATCATACTCTAAAAGGGTGCCACTCGGCACTTAGTGATTTTTATTTATTAGGTAATATATATATATATATATATATATATATATATATATATATATATATATATATTACCTAATAAATAAAAATCACTAAGTGCCGAGTGGCACCCTTTTAGAGTATGATTCTAATGATGCTATGTACGATCTTTAAAAAATTATATATATATATATATATATATATATATATATATATATATATATATAGAGAGAGAGAGAGAGAGAGAGAGAGAGAGAGAGAGAGAGAGAGAGAGAGAGAACGTGAATCCGAAAAATATTTTTCATATTCACAATGTTAATATATGAATTTAGAAAGGTTTAGATTTTTTTTCGATAAAGAATAAGCTCTATAAATTGAAAAAAATATTTGGTTCATTGAAGAACCAATAATTATGGTTCTTTATTTAATTTTTCCATATATATATATATATATATATATATATATATATATATATATATATATATATATATATATATATATATATATATATATATATATATATATATATATGATGTGATTTTAAATTAAGATTATATGTTTTTCTTGCTTATATATCATTTATTATAGTTTAAAGAAAAACCTGTAAATTTATAAACATGAGTAGATAGCACAAACGGGCTCTCCTCAAAAAAATCTATAAAATTGCATAATAAATCGCCTAACTTTACAATTGATTCATAAACGTTATCTTCTATGATATCATATATTCCATTATGATTTTATTTCTTAAAACTACGGTTGTTTTGAATACAAATTCTAATTTAATTTGATAGATAACTTAATAAAATTATTCATACGGTTAATCAAATATATTGATAATATATTTTTATTTTTTTAAAATTCAATATATATATATATATATATATATATATATATATATATATATATATATATATATATATATATATATATATATATATATATAGGGTTAGGTTCATGTGAGACCACTTGATTTTGTGAGACTTGATTTTGTGAGACGGGAAGACCAAATCTTGACCACTCATCCTAAATAACCAAAGGCTAATATTAATTCAGATTAAACCATAAAATAGGCGGTGACAATTTTGTAAATTAATGGAACTTTGGGATTAGATCAAGACACGGAGGGGCATTAATGGAATTTTGCATTCTTTTTCTTTCAACACACAAAAACAAACACCCGGTACGAACCCTAAAACCCATTTGATCCAAATCTCGATCATCGTTCTGCTTCCAAAATCTCGATCATCGTTTTGCTTCCAAATCTCGATCATTGTTTCAGACTCTAATTCTGATTATACCTGAAATTCATCTTCCGATTATTACACGAAAACCACTCGATAATCAACTAGAACATTAAAAACATTTCGATTTTGAATTTGATATCGAATCAAATGGCTCATTCTACAGATATCGATTCTGATTTTGTATCAACAACTGTTCCAAGTAAGTATAATACTACAAACCTCTTGTTCTTACACCATAAACCTATCTGTTCTTATTATAGAAAGTTTTTTCACTTTAAATCGTTTTGTGTATTCAATAAATGTGTAATAATCGAGATAGTTCACTAACGATTTATATGTCGAAGTCAGTATGTAAAGGAATATAGCATTATAAAGCATACAATCTAAACCTAAATCTCAGTGTGTGATTTATATAGAGTCTATGTATCTAAATGTTAACTGTACAGAGTGTTCTAATTATTCCCCCATTTCATTTGATCTAAATATTCTTAATCAAAATCAGCAAAGATGTTATGTTATTCTAACTAATTGTTCATCATTTAATTAGATTTAGATCCATAAATTGTCTAATACTATAGATTTTGGTAACACAAATCTCTTATTATGATTGTAGTATATTGTTTAGCCAAAAAAAAACTTTGTATTCTAGTGAATTTTATGTTGATTGATAAATAGAAATTTGTTGTTATGTATTTATAGAACTGTGACCAGATTATATATCATAAACTAATATGAATTCTAATGGAATTTGATGTTATTGATGCAGCTAAAAAAGTGCAAACAAATGCAACTGTAAGAAAAACAGGGAAAGAAATCTATATCGATATAGGTATAAATTGTGATTACTTTTAGATTATATATTATAATTGCTTTTATTAACCTCTAAATGCTTTTAATAAATATTCTAATTGTTTTTATTTGATAATTTTCTTCATACAGATTCAGCAAGTCAAGATAGGGTTAAAAAAGGTATGAACACCCTTTCTTTCAAATAATTCATAAAAAAAAACAAATGTTTGGATTTATTTTTCTAATTGGTTTTAATTGTAAATCAAAAGAAAAAGAAGACAAACCTTATGTTGATTGATAAATAGAATTTTGTTGTTATGTATTTATAGAACTGTGACCATATTATATATCATAAACTAATATATTCTAATTGATTTATTTTTCTAAGTTAGTTATTCTGAATATTCTAATTTTGTTTTATCATGTATTCTAATTGATTTTAATTGTTAAATTTCATGACAAAAGATTTGCAAATTCTAATGGAGTTTGATGTTATTGATGCAGCTAAAAAAGTGCAAACAAATGCAACTGTAAGAAAAACAGGGAAAGAAATCTATATCGATATAGGTATAAATTGTGATTACTTTTAGATTAAATATTATAATTGCTTTTATTAACCTCTAAATGCTTTTAATAAATATTCTAATTGTTTTTATTTGATAATTTTCTTCATACAGATTCAGCGAGTCAAGATAGGGTTAAAAAATGTATGAACACACTTTCTTTCAAATAATTTATAAAAAAAACAAATGTTTGGATTTATTTTTCTAATTTTGTTTTATCATATATTCTAATTGATTTTAATTCTTAAATTTCATGATAAAAGATTTGCAAATTGTAAATCAAAAGAAAAAGAAGGCAGATGAAGGAAAATCAAAGAAAAAAATTAAAAAAAAAACGTTGTTACTTCTAAAAGCGACTCCGATTCTTCTTCTGATTCATCCTCACATCATAGAAAAAGAATTAAAAAATGTATCAACAATCATTCTTTAAAACACTTATTCTAATTTTTTGGATTTATTTTTTTCGGTTGATTATTATGAACATTCAAGTTGATTAAAATAAATATTCTAATTTATTTCAATTTTTAAATTTCTTCATACAGCTAAAAATACAAAAAAGAAGAAAATACTTGAAAAGAAAAAAAGACACTATGTTTCAGATTCTTCATCTTTACAGTCAGAGACATCAGAGTCAGAGACATCCACAACAGAGAGTGATGAATATGGTAAAATATGTTGTCTTTTATAATATATATGTTGACATCCAATAAAAGTATATTATATTTTTCTAATAGAATAATTATTGATGCAGATAAAGTAAATAAAAAGAAAAAAAGAAAAGTCAAAAAACATTTCAAGCGCCACAAGAAATTAATCCATAATGATGTGAAGCACAAAAAGAAAAAACATGTTTCTGATTCTTCAACAGAATCAGAGACAGAATCATACACACATTCAACGGGTAAAATAATCTAAACTTTTTTTTTTTTTCGTGAAATATGATTTTATACTTTACAATTCCAATATTATGGAACAATATAAATATTAGAGTGTTTCGAAGAATATTTTTCATAGACTATGTTTGACATGAATTACTTATGGATCATAATTGAAAATTCTTGGTATTTTGATGTGAAAATATTTTTCTATTGTTTATTGATGTGAAAGTATGTTTATATGATATTACACATTCTATATATTATTATATCATAAATCATGTTATACTTGATTTTTTTTTGTTGTTTTACTTAGCTGATATAGGATTTTGCAAACATTTGAGTTTAACTTTTTATAAATAATATAATTTGAATAAATATCTACATTTTACTTAGATGATATAGTATTTTTGGATTAAATTCCGTAGAATATTCTGATATAATAAGTGTATATGTATAATATTCTGTTTGGAATATTACTTTGTAATTAAATGAAATATGATTTTTGGATTTTTGTGGGGTTACTAACATCTATGACTGATGTAATGAATTAGATGATGAATCTGATGAAGAAATCTATGTAAAAAAGAGAACCGGTGATAGAAAATATGTTGAAGGAGTGACAAAGATTAAAGAAGCAAAAAGGAAGAGGAATAGTAGGGACAATCGTGCAGCAATAAAGAAACAAAAAACCGTGAAAGAGCAAAAGACTGTGAAAGATATATTGAAGGAGTTGCCTTCAATAAACACTAGATCAACACCTGGATTGATGACAGATGCTGTAAGTTCTTTGACATCAGAACAAAAAGATTGGGTGAAACGGATGGATTTAAAGCCTTTTTGAAGATCAACATTAAGAGTATTCCCTTAAAACTTTGCCATTTTGTGCTTAAGCATTACGATGAAGGCACAAACAGTATTCTGATTAAAGGAAAAAGAATAAAGATCACAAAGGAAAAAATTCATAAAGTGTTTGGTTTACCCAAAACTGGAAAAAGCTTATTTGATTTGCACAAGGTTAGTGAAGATCATCAAGTGTTTGATGGATGGATGAAGGAACTTGAATACGGAAAGGCAAATGCAACAAACTACAAGAAGATTATTCAAAAATCCGAACAAGTGGATATGAATTTCAAGCTGGGTTTCATAGCTTTATTTGTTAATACGTTTGCAGAATCCATTCCTATGGGGACAAACAACTTAGTTCCAGTTAGAGCACTTGTTGAAGTAGATGACATTTCTAAAATCGATTGGTGTGCATATTTGTTGTACTGTGTGAAAAATTCAAAAGGGAGATGGCATCCAGACAACCCCAAGTGTTATTATATAGGCCCGATGTTGTTGCTATTGGTATGTTTTTTCATATACTTATTTTTTTTTCTTAAAAATGGATATCTAATATGATGTTGAAATAATGCAGCTAATTTACTGTGATGAAATTGAATGCAAGCTCCAAAAAATAGAACGTAAAACACCATTAGTTACGATGTGGATAGCAGATAAGTTGAAGGAAAGACAATCTTTTGAGATTGAAGCTGGTGGATTTGGGGTTGGGAATCTAATTGAACAAAGTTCAAATTTAGAACTTGAGAAGAATGAAAATCAGGACATGCGTATTGAGGTATATTCTAAGTAGAATATATTATTAAATTATGTTTTAGAATATATTTTAATTATATCCTAACTTAATATAAGAAAAATATTCTAATGTCTTTTTTTCCCAGGAGTATGAAGAAAAGTATGAAAATTTTTTCAACAATGTCTCAACTGAAAAGAATGATATGGAAGATATTATTTTTCATTGTCTATCGAAGTTCCCTGAAGACAATAAAACGAAGGAGATGATAAGAAAGTTTAGAGACATATTTTCAACTACACTTTTTTCTAGTCGAGAGAAATCAGAAACTATTAAGGAGAGAACTGAAGTCAAATCAGATAGAGATGAAGAGCTTAATAAAACAAACATTTCTGATTCTGATGATGATAAAGATGAAGGAATGAATACAAAGTTGGTTGCATTTTTAGCTGTTAAACCATTACAACAGAAGTTTCCAGAGAATGAAGAAACACAAGAAGAAGATCAAGATATGAATGTTGATGACCGAATAAATTTGGGTTTTGAGAATAATATTGGCGAGGAAACGATTAGACATCCGCATAATCCAGAAAGACAAATAGAATTTGAAGGCATAAATGTTGATGACAAAATAAATTTGGCTTTAGAGGTGAATAATATAGACGAGACTATTGAAAAAAAGAATTTAGAAGACAATGTTGAGAGCAAAAATCTTGTTAAAGGTGGTGAAATTATTGGTGGGGAGAATATTAGGGAGGGGAATATTGTAGAGAAGGTGGTTGGAGACAACATAGGTGAGAGCTCAATTGTTACACCAAAACACAATCCAAAAGGTATATCTATTGATTTTTCCCCTTGGTCTGATTCATTCATAGAAAAAATGGATGAGGATTTGCTTAGAATATTCTCAAACAGAAATCCAGATTCAAATACAATTCAAAATCCAGTTGTCAGATCTCCTGTTCCAAAAAAGCTAACATTTGAAAATTCAGAATTTCCCTCCTTTGATCTTCAAATAACCCAACTAATAAACAATGCAGAAACTGGTGATAATTCTGAGGGTAATGATGAAGATGGAGAATTAGAAGGGAATGAAGAGCATATTTTAGATGAGAAAGGGAAAAAGGGTCAGAATGTGAATGAAAGAGGGAAAAGGAAGGTGACTAATCCAGATATTTTTAGATCACCTTTTGTGAATAGGGTAATTGACTTAAGTGAAAAAGTCAGTACTGAGCAAGAGATAATGGCGCAAATCATGTTTAGATGCGTTGCAGACAAAGATCCAATGTAAGTAAATTCATAATTGTGTAATATTCCTATTGGAATATTTTAACTACAATTCAATATTTTTGTTTTGAAGGGAAATGCTGTTTGAAACTGAGTCTGGAGACATAATGGATAGGGTGCATTTTGAGGGTATGCGTCCAAATCATAAGATACATCCTTTCGTTATTGATTGTTGGGCTGCTGTTCTTAATTTTGAAGAAGAAAACCTGAGAAACAAAAAATCACCACCACGTGTCTTCTTCAACACTCAAATTATGGTACTTAATTTTTAAATTTATTTTCTATATTCTAATTATAATTTAAAACAATGTATTATAATATTTCTATTGTTCTATATGTACAGACAGAAAAATTACTGGATTCTTCAATACCTTTTGTTGAAAGATCCCGACTTTTTGATGAGGCTGTAAACAATTACTTATATGACATCAAAAGAAAAGTGGATTTCAATTCTATTAATCTGGTATGTATTTTTGATTACAAGATAACATATTCATATTAAAATTTATAAAAATTCATTTGTATTTATGTTTGAACTACAGGTGTTTTTTCCAATACACAACCGTGGTCATTTTTATTGTATTCTTTTCAACCTTACAAATCCAGAACATATAATCATTGACAACATAAGATACACCAAAAAAGTAGAAGATGTCTATGGAGAGATTCCTAAACTTGTGGTAAATGTTTCTTCCATAAATCTAAAAACTTTATTTTAATCATAATTGTTTACTTTAAAAAACCACTCTGTATTAGTAAATAAATTCTGATTAGATATAAAATATAATATTTATATTCTTATAAGATTTATTTACTTAATATAGTTATCATTTTAGAAAAATAATGGTATTTTATTAATATGCATTGCAGCAAATGTACTTTTCAAAGTTTTTGACAACAATCGGCGGGATAAGGTTTCTTTGTTTAAATCTATGAAGCCAAAGAAAATGAAAATGGCATGGCAAACAAAAACTAAGACAAATGATGATGGTATATTTTTGATGAGGCATATGGAAAAATACATGGGTGAGAAAGAAGAAAAATGGGATGTGGAACTGGGAGAAAGTGTTAGGACATCTAAAAAGATTGCAAAGTTGCGTACATTTTATGTTTCTAAGCTAGCAAACCATCAAATCAACAAGCAGAGAAAATTGAATGTTACAGAAGCATTGGAATTTTCAAAACTTGATAAGAAAACTAGGTGTATGTTGGTGAAAGAAGGCAGTGAAGCAAGAGACAATTTGGAAATGAAGAAAGTTTGAAAAATTTTTATATTGGCTTATTACATACAAACATTTTATTTTCTATTTTGTTTTTTTTTTGTTTTTTTTAAATGCTTATGTTTGAGGATATACTTAAACCATTGATATTTTGCTAAATGATATGCTTAAACCAGTTAGTTGGTATCTTGATAAAATATTTACTGCTTAATAGTAAATGATATATTGCGTTTAAACTTTTTGTTTGATGATGCCTATTTATTTGATTAAAAAATTGTTTGGTAAAATGATAAATGATTAAAACACATATTGTTAATATTGTATTAAGCTTATTCTAATTTGTTTTATGTGAATTATTCTGATTATTCTGGTTTCATTAAAATACTTAATAATAAAACGTTTTAATATAATATGTAATTTTGTTTTACAATATTTTAATAAAAAATAAATGAAATTATATTTAGTATCATGTTACAATAATAAAAAATTACGATAATAAAAATTTTAGTATACTTTATAAAAAAAATACATTGTCTCTATTAGTATAAGTAAAATTTTAGAATAAATGAAAATATTTATTTTAGAATATTTGTAATTAAGTAATTTTATTTTACAATTAAAATAATATAAAAAAATTAATATTGAACCAAACTGTAAGTTTTTAAATTAAAAGGGACTAAAAATACTAGGACTTATTTTCCAGGGATGAAAAAGGGACAAACGTGATAACTTTGAGATTTTATACTTATGAACGATGGAAGAACATTAAAATGAAAAAACTCAATTTCTTTATCTGTGTTCTCAAAAACCGTCTTCCAAAACTTCTTATCATTTTCGGTTTTAAACAGTCCATCAAAACCCTAACTTCTTGTGCTCTTGAACTCGTCATCTTCGATTTCTCCCTGTATCAATTTCAATTTTCGATGTTGTGAATCCGATTTTCACTTGATAACATCGATAAAACCCTAAACTTAATTTCATTCTATCGAGTATTTCTTATCAACGAAAATGGCTACATCAACGCGTGCTTCAGAGTCTACACCATCAGATCACCTAAATGCCATTATTACCAAAACTTCTCAAGAAATTCCAGGTATTTTTGTTCTGTTAATTATCATTTATATCCTTGAGTTCGTTTGAAAACGGCGATATATCTTTGAGAATTGACCTTCTATTGTTCCTCCAGTCTCCATATCTACATACTAATAATTAGGGCATCGGGATCTTGTTTCTTAGTGAATATGGGCGTTTTTGTGTTGTTTGAGTATGTATTTATAACAAAAATATGCCCTACTTATATTACATTTAATACATTCTTATGTGGGATTCTTTGGATTAATGATAAATAAGCTTTGCCTTTCATCTATTTACAGGGGAATTCAGTTTTGATTTTCAACCAAACACATTTATTTATTACTTTTGAGATTTTGTGTGTATGTGAAAAAGGAAATATACACAAGTGCTTTCAAGGCAGATATGAAAAGAAACATTCTCATGGTATTGGTCCTGGTGGTCTTGGTCTGAATAAGAATAATAAAGTTTTTCCATTAAACAATTGCATATTATGTCCTCTAATAATTCAGAAC